GTTTCACACCACCTGTGGCAGGAAAGACCCCTGGGCTGGGAGGTCAGCAGAGAGAGCTTTGAGGTTACTTGTGTTTGCTAGTGCTTTCTACCAGCAACAAAGCTCCCCTAAATGAGTAGCCTAAAAAAGGCAGCACAGGAAAACCCAAAACTGGGGGACAGAAGGAAAGAAAACCCTTCACACTGAGATCTGGTTGGCTTGTCTTTCCAACTGGCAGAGTCAGAAAACTTCAGATGCCACCGATAAAGCCAAACTTGCCTACAGGAACTGTGTGTGTTTTCTTAAAGACTTCTCAAACAAAAACGTTAAAGACAGTAAGCTGTGTTTACTTAGGGGGAAAATTATTTCGAACCAGAGTTTTAGAACGCCTCCTCATTCCTAACAACACCCCTTATAAATCCACCTTACAACTTTGTTTGCAAAAGAAAATTATTTAGTCTTTCAACTTGCTGTAAATTATATTCTCTGAGCAATGTAATTCAGAAAAACACTGGGTCATATATACAGCCACACTGAAGACAGGAAGACACATATCTCTCCCTGAGACACCCATATTTCAGTCTCATCCTTATCTTTAACATCGCTTTCTATTAAGCCTTGTGCTTAAGATTTATGTTTAAAATGCCTTTTTTAAAAGACAGGGTCTCTCTGTAGCCCCAGCTGGAACTCACCATGTAGACCAGGCTGGCCTAGAGATCCTCCTACTTCAGCCTCCTGAATGCTGAGATTAAAGTGCCACCATGCCCATCTTAAAACGCCTTTTAGTAAACTCTAACTCTGGGGGTTGAGAAGATGACTCAGTGATTAAAGAGTCTTTGATGCTCTTCCAGAGAACCCAAGTTTCGTTCCTACTATTCATATGAGCTGGCTCACAACTACCTGTAACGCCAACTCCAGGGAATCTGACGTTATTTTCTGTAGGCACGCACACACTTGGGGCACACACACACATAAAAATGAATGTGTCCCAACTCTGCTTTACTCTGGCTTGTCCTGAAATGCTTTTCCACAGCAAATCCAAGAATCTGGCTTTTGGTAAGTGGGGGCCTCTCAGTAGAGAAAGGACCTCCTCAGACTGTACCACGCAGAACAATGTCTCTACTCCCTGCACCCCAACCCCGACCCCTGTCACTGCTGACATAAACAGCAGAAGTTAACTGTCTCAAGGCTCTGAGGCAGAGACCAGAGGTACTCAGATGGTTGAGTCCTTGTGAGGGCTAAGACACAGTCTGTTCCCGGACTCTCCTGCCTTTTGTACTTTGTGGTCATCTTGGACTCCTTAGATAGAGGAAGCATCACCCCAAACTCTGTCTCACTCAGCATTCTCCCCATGTACATATCTTTGAGCCCACATTTTCCCTTTATATAAAGACACTAGACATCGATGATCAAGGCCCTGATGACTTCATCTTAACGACATCTGCAGAGAACCTGTTTCCAAATAAGGTCATATTCTAAGGTTTAAAGACTTAAACAGGACATGAGGTCAGGAAAGGGGGACACCATTCAACCAGTAACACAGGTCTACCACTTGAAGTAGATTCTCAATGTCAAGGGTACATCTGCCTGAATGATGCGTGGTAGAAGCTACATCATGTTGCAATGATTACCAATCTCAATTATCAGCAGCTTAGTACAAAAAAAAGTTCACTTCTTACAGCAGGTTCTCTAAGGATGAAGAACGTTCCGGAACAGCTGTCTTCTATTCCTTGACTTTAGGGACACAAACTGCTTCCACCTTCATGATCTTCCATGAGGGGTACAGAACAGCCACAAGCTGTATCTGGTTTGTTCTTGTCCTGGCCTGGAAGTAACCATTTGAACACACACTTATGTTTGAAAAGCAGGTCTGCACTATTCATTTGTGATGGCCGGGAGGAGTGTTAGTGCATCCCACAGACCTGCTGCAGAGACATTTTAAGAACTGGTGTTGAGATGTTTGCTTAAGGCCATAAAAGCCACATTCTTAGTACAAGCTGGCGAACAGGAAAAAATAAAAAGACGTTTACTTTCGGAATTAAAGCTCAGCCACTGTATCCCTGAAGATCAAAGAATAAAGAAGTGATAGATTCAAGGAGTGTGAGTGGGGCCCAGCCCAAAACAGGCAAGGACTGGGGAACCCAGCAGAGGCAGCAATCGGTGAGAATTCAAGGGCAGCCGCAGGCTTTTTCCAGGTTTAAAAATTCATATGGAGGCTGGGGAAATGGCTCAGTTGGTCAAGCATTTGCTTTTCATGCACAAAGACCTGAGTTCCAACTTCAGAACCCACATAGAAAGCCATGAGCGGTGGCATGTGCTCCCCAGTACTGGGGAGGCTGAGACAGGCGGTCCCTCGGGCTTGCTGACCAGACAGCCTAACCTACTTGGCAAGTTCCAGGCCATTGAGAGACCCTGTCTCAAAAACAAGGTAAATGGCTTCTGAAAAACACCCCCGATGTTGTCCTTTGATCATACGCACACACATGTGCACACATGCCTACACTTACATATGTGTCTGAACTCACATCAACAAGCACACACATGTAAATATACATAGAAAAATTTGTGTGGAATGAAAGAGGAAGAGGAGAATGAAGAGGAGGTACGGAGGCACTGGTCCCAGTTAGAGGGATGGAGTCCCCCCCCAATCTCCCATCATCCAACTCTTCCCATGCTGGAGTAGGCTGTGGAGTCCCCAAGGGCAGTAGGTTTACACAGTCCTACAGCTTCACAGAGGCTTAGCATGTACTTTCTGTGAATAAATGATGAGTGGATGGCTAGATGGGCAAATAGCACTAAATGTCCTCCTTCCTATTCCCAAGTATCACATTCATCAGAACAAAGGAATGCTCTTGGCTTCTCCCCAGGTTGCCTGAGCAGTCCTCACCCACCCCTGGAAGCCACTGCAGGGAGGTGACTGACTGGCGGTCACACCCAGATTAGGTTACGGAAATTTACCCAGTCGGGAGGTGTCCTAGTTTGTTTCTCCACTGCTATGACAAAACACTCTAACCACTACTAACTTGGGGAGGAAAAGGTTTATTCAGCTTATATCTCCCGGGTCACAGTTCATCAGGGAGCCCAAGGTAGGAACTCAGGACAGGAACTTGGAGGCAGGAACTGGAGCACAGGCCATGGAGGAATGCTGCTTACTGACTTGCTCCCCTGCCCCATGCTCAGCTTGCTCTCTTATCCAACACAGGCCCACCTGCCCAGGGGTGGCACCACCCACAGTGGAATGCTGCTTACTGACTTGCTCCCCTGGCCCATGCTCAGCCTGCTTTCTTATGCAACACAGGCCCACCTGGCCAGGGATGGCACCACCCACAGTGGGCTGGGCCCTGGGCCCTCCCACATCACTCAACAATCAAGAAGATGCCCCACAGACATGGCCACAGGCCAGTCCTATGGAGGCAATTCCCCAATTGAGGCTCCCTCAACCCAGGTTTCAAAATCAGCTAAAATTTATTCTGGCATCAGTTCATGGTATAAAGGATTTCCCAGCCCTTAAGACTGTTCCACCAGCTGATGGGGTGGGGGATAAAAAGGGATTACCCAGGGCACTGGGTATATGCCTGTCTGTGAGTCCACTGATTGGCCACACCCACCTCCCACCCCTGTGCCTCACCAACCCCTGACCCTGCGAAAGGAACAGCTATTTAAGGGCAGTTGGCACTCAGGAAAAATAAGGGAAGCCCTGGAAGAATCAACTCCAACATCAACTACGAGGTAATGCCCGGAAATTCTTGCCCTTTGGCTGCCTTCAAGTTGTTGTACAGGATACATCTATGAATGTGTGGACATGCCTGTGTATGTGAGTCCCCATTGGGTTAGCATATACAAGACAACACGTGTGTGCGAGTGTGCTACGTAGGTCTGTGAGGGTGCTGAGGGAGAGGATGTGTGTGCCAGTGGGGAATTCAAGAGTATGTGTACACAGGTGTGAGTGTGTGTGTGTGTGTGTGTGTGTGTGTGTGTGTGTAGTACAGTGTAGCTCTCAAAGAGAAGGTATGTGCAGATTTATGAGGAAATCACTAGAGCTCAGACTTCCAGGATGGAAGTCTCAAGCCTTGAATCCAGTGTGAGAATACAAGTAGAGTACCCAGTGAGGAGGGCATAGCCTCAGACCTTGGGAAACTTTTCGTGGGATGAATCCAGTTCTAATCTCCTAGGAGGAGTGAGAGAGGTGTGAGTAAAGTCTCATTACCACCTGTGTGTGAGACCATCCCACCGAGTAGGGAAGGGGCAAGAGCAGACGATACAGCACTACATGGAGGCTGCTCTGTGTGCGGTGTGTGTGACAGAAATGCTCGTCCTGGGCTTAGTTCCATGTAAGAGCAGGTTGTTAGGGGGGAAAACTGAACAGCCGAGAAATCAAGCACATCACTCAGGAGAGAGTCTGAAAGCTCGTATAATTTCACATGCACGTGGTCCCAGACTTAGCAACAAAGGCGTCAAGACTGTCCCGGCCCGGAACAAAGTAAAAGTGAGGTCATAGAGGACTTCCTGTATCATTTCATGGCTGCCATCTGGGCCCTGTGGCTCTTTCCATGGATCAGCCATGTTATCTCAAGAAAGCCCCAGTCATCCTAGTTTACAAAGTTGATATCCTGGGCATGGATCAGGACATCTGCTACCTTTTAATCTGTAGCTAAGCTGGGTTAATTGGGCTGAGTGTCTCTCAGTCACCTCAGTATAAAAAACATGTATCACAGGCAGAAGTTTAGATATCGGTCACGTCTGATCTACACTTTTATTAGACCAATTGGACCAGGTGCCTCTAGACCATTTGGTGCACTTTCCATTTCCTTAGCTTTACATCTTTATCAGTAGCTGGACACAGTGAGTGGAAAGCATCACACAGCTTCAAGATATTTTATTACAGAGTAATAAAACATCTCACGATAGAGAAAACATCATAAAGCAGTAAAGCATCACTAAGTAGTAAAAATCACAGGGCTGCATTTCAAGACATCTGCCCAATAACTAAAACAAGAGGGAACGTCAAATAGCCTGAGTACCAAGGACATTATATAAGAGCACAAGTTGGTTATAAGACTATAACGTCTTTTTATCAGAGTGTGCTGGAGTTGCTGACCTAGACAACAGAGCAGGGGCAGGAGCTGGGCATCCTGGTAGAGAAGCCCAGGGCAGTTGGCCTGCATTTGTCCCTCACAGAGCTGACAACATGAAAATCCTCCTGTTGCTGGTAACAGCGATCGTGGCCTTTGGTAAGAGCTGAGCCTGAACTCTGGGTACAACGGGGGCAGGCTGGAGAGGGAGGCACCCCATCTCCCAGCTTTCCTTCCCATTTTCCTGCCCTCTCTCAGTGGGAGGGGGAAGTACCTATGGGGAGGGAGAGTAGCAGAGAGAGGCTGAGGAAGGGCCCAGGGTCCACCCCCTCACCAGGACATCTCGGTTTCCTTTCAGGTCCGATGCAGGTTGAAGGGAGTCTTGTGGATTTTAACAAAATGATCCAACTTAAGACAGGAAAGATTGCTGGAAGCAGTTATGCCTTCTACGGCTGCCACTGTGGTCTGGGTGGCAAAGGAGCCCCTAAGGATGCGACGGATTGGTAAGCCCAGCCCTGCCTGCCCTCGGCTCACTTCTAGACCTGGCAGAATTGGGAGCTCTAGGACAGAGCTAATGCACCCACTGCCTCAATGTCCTAGTGGATCCCAGCTGGGAAAGTCGCCAGCATGTTGAGAAATGTGCTCTAGACTATTCCAATGTCATTAAGTCTCTGTCCAGGGTCAAAGGTTGGGGGGAGAATATTGGGGCAGCAGGACCCCCAGAGCTGTAAGAAGGCAGCTTCAATAGGATGTCCTCCACCAGGTGCTGTGCCACACATGATTGTTGTTACTACCATTTGAAGAAACAAGACTGCGGGACAAAATTTCTGCCCTACAAATTTACTCACAGCGGAGGCAAAATCACCTGTGCTGGTAAGAAAGAACACTGACATATCATCAAGTTCTCCTCATGCAGGGCACTTTGCTGGCCATGAGACCAGGTGCACAGGTGGACTTTGAACCTCACAATGGGAATCAAGAAAAATGATGGAGAGGATTGTAAAGCCTCAAACAGGAAGTCAGCAAAAAGCCTTAGCTCAGACTGAAGCCCAAGGTGATTCCTGCAGCCTACATTTGAGCTGAGTCCTAAAGGATGCAGGGAGTCAGGGAAGAGGAAAGTTGGACTGTCCCCCAAAGAGGGCACAGTATGATCAAGGGACCAAAGGGCATTGCAGGCCATTCTGTGATGCCCAGTGAACATGTGAGGATGAGTCAGAACCATGAGACAAGGACAGGGCCAGATCAAGCCGGGCCTTGTTGGCCCTTGTCTTTAGGTTTTTGACCTGTAGCAATAGGGAGCTATTATTTAACAAAGAAGTGACAGGAGCAGATTGGCAGTAAGAAGACTTCTGATGGCAGGGTGGATGAGGACAGGAGGGAAGGGGAACTGGTGAGCAAGCCACCACAATGCCTGCAAGAGAGGGCGACACTTGGCATAAAGCATCCTTGGTCAGGATGGAAAGCTTGGGATGTATGTGAGGGGGCTCAGATGAGCTTAGTCTGATACATATGGGAGGAGCTTCTCTCACTGGAATGGGTACAAGGTCAGCACCCCAATCCTCCAAAAGCCCAGGCAATGCCAGCAGGAAGCTTTGGCCTTTAGCACATTCAGAGGTCCTCAACAGAAAGGCAACAATAGGTGTATTTACCCATCTGGTGATTAAAGAGCCAGAAAGAACTGGACAGGGGTCAGGGTCAGGGACTGAAGATGAGGTTCAGTAAGGGGGAGCTGGTCAAAGCTGGCAGTGTGACCCAGGAGGCCACCATGGTGATATCTTGCAGAGGGAGATATTTATGGAGCATGAGGGCCAAGGCAGATTAGACAGGTTGGGCATGAGTGGGAAGGGAATGGAGACAGGACTGAGCGCCAGTACACACAAGGGGCTTCAAGCTGACAGGAACAGGCTAGGTGGGTGGTGGCTGAACAGTAACACTTACTGAGCCCAGACATTGAACCTATGAGTAGGATTTGGAGAGTGCATGGACCCACCCCTCCCCAGCACCATAGGTTGAGTCCTTTAAAAGCAGATGGTCCTTTTTAGACAGGGTCTCATGTAGCCCAGGCTGGCCTCAAAATCACTATGTAGCTGAGGATGACCTTAAGCTCCTGATCCTCCTGCCTCCACTTCCCAAGTGCTAGGGTTATAGGCTTGCACCCTTATGCCCAGTTTATGCAGTGCTGGGAATTGAACCCTGGGCTTTGTGAGAGCTAAGTGAACACTCTACCAACTGAGCTGCATTCCCAGCCCCAAGATGGGAAATGACTGCTTACCATCATCACTACACCATGGGTCATGTATTTGAGCAGGCTTTAGGTTCCAAGCAGCAAGATGCCCAACTGGAGTGGTTTGGATAATGTGGTGGGTCGCTTGACCCTCGTAATGTGGGCGTTCTGGAGGAGTGTAGAGCTGGGGTTGGGCAGCTTCCACCGCCCAGCATCAGTCCCGGTCAGAACAAGGCCACATGTTACTATGAGACCAAACATTGCCAAGGAGAAAGGGTGAACCGTGCCTTCCATCCCAAGGCCTCTGGGGCTGGGGCTTTGTAGGGGAAGGTTCATTAGCAAGAGGGTGGGGCTAAAGATTAGCTCACAGTTGGAGAGCACCTACCTAACATGCATGAAGCCCCAGGTTCCATTCCCAGCACTGCATAAACATATGCACATCTATAATCCCATCATTTTGGAAGATAAGACAGGAGAAATCAAATTTCAAAGTCATCCTCAGCTATATAGAGAGATAAAGGCCAGTCTGAGCTACATGAAACCATGTCTTTAAAAAAGAAAAAAAAAAAAAAAAAAAAAAGAGGCTGGGCATGGTGGCTCCTGCCTTTAATCCCAGCACTCTGGACGTGGAGGCAGGTGAATCTCTGTGAGTTCAAGGCCAGCCTGGTCTACATAGCGAGTTCCAGGCCAGCTGCAGCTACAGGGAGACCCTGTCTCAAAAAGACCAAAAACCGAAACAAAACCAAACCTCCCCAGCCCCAGGCTTGGCTGCTGTGTGTCCCCACTGGCTGGGAACCTGGCTTCCAGAGGTCAGAATTCTCCCCAGCCAGCCCCTGTGCTGTGCTGTGCTGTGCTGTGCTGGTCTCAGAAGAGGCCCCCACGCCGGCCACAGGACAGTTACACATGTGCTGTCCGTTTTCCTCTCATTTCAGCCGACCAGAACTCGTGTAAGAAACAGTTGTGTGAGTGCGATAAAGCTGCTGCTGAATGCTTTGCCCGAAACCTGAGGAGCTACAGTACAAAGTACCAATTTTATTACAACACGTTATGCCATGGGGTCTCACCCAAGTGCTGAGAGGCCCCTCTTCTGTGCCACCTGGGCAGCCAGTGCTGAGTCTCCTCTAACACCTCTCTCCCTAGCCTAACCAAGTTCCCTGCTGATAAAGAAAACACCCCTGTCCCGTGCTAGAGGCAAGGTGGGCACCCTCTGTCTCCACCCAGAACCAAAGTTCTAAGTCTGAGAGCCCCTCCTCTAGCACCCCACTACTTTGGTTTACTGGTTTCCCCCTTTTCCACTGTCCCCTTCACACACAGCTTCCTGCTTAGCAATAACAAGGAGAGTCCTGGAAGGCTCTTCTGAATAAAGCATTTTAGCAACAATCCGTACCTGTGTTCTCTTAAAGCGAAACTGGACAGACTGATATGTAGGATGTACATTAAAAGTACAGGCTTTGGGGCTAGGTGTCAAGATACCTCCATCAATAAAATGCTTACCATACAAGCATGAGGATCTAGGTTCAATCCCCAGGACCCCCATTTAAAAAGCACATACTTAGTTGGACATGGTGGCGCATACCTTTAGTCCCAGCACTCGGGAGGCACAGGCAGGCGAATCTCTGTGAGATCCAAGCCAGCCTGGTCTATATAGTGAGTCACAGGCCAGCTAGAGCTACAGGGAAACTCTGTCTCAAAAAGATCAAAAACAAAGAAAAACAACAACAACAAAAGCATGAACTTGTCATCCCGGACCAGAGCTGGGGACAGAGAGACAGGCAGATCCTGGTGCAATAAAGAAGTTCCAGGTTAGTGAGAGAGACTGTCCAAAAAAAACAGGGTGGATGGTGTTCTGAGGAGCAACACTTGAGTTCGACCTCTGGTAATCACACACATGAACACATAGATACATACAGGCACACAATAGTAAAGGCTTTAGGGTCAGATTGGCTGCGTCCAATCCCCAGCCCCACACCACCTTAAGCAGTGGGACAAATGTCAAGCAATGGGCCAACCTGTCTACAGCTGCCATTCCTGTTAAAGCTGGACAGCCATCTCCCCTTCCCCATACTGCAGCCGTTCCTCCTGGCCTATGGGAGGTTGTGAAAGTTGCCAGGGTTTTGTCAAGGCCTAGTCACATTAAATTTTAAGAAAACAGAAGGTTATGAAGGAGGGCATTCCATGCCCATGTGTGCGACATAGACCTGTTCCCAGAAGACTGTCAGAGCCACAGCCTTGGGCAAGGCCACCAAGCAAAAACAGAATCCTATGCCAGGCACATTGTCAAAGTCAGATGCTTTGCCCAGATCCTTACAATTCCCTGACAGCTTAAAGGACTCTCTTTGCTCTGGAGAGACAGATCAGAAGCAAATGAGGGCCTCAGAATCTGGAGTGTTCAGCAAAGGCTCTGCCTCAAGAACTCCAGCTAGGAGTATCACGGTCCATTTCCACGCATGCTCTTCTCTCCGTGGAGGGATAAGGACAATCTTCAACTGAAGGTTTAGGGCTGCCATGTAAAGGCTTTGTACTCTGTCTCTGCCAGTTTACCTCCGCCTATTTCAAATCTGCGAACTCTTTCCCTTCTATAAAGATAACCCCCAGTCAAAAGTTTTTCTTTCCAGTAATGGAAAAGATTTAAAAACTTTTCCAAATTATGGTTTTGCAACGTACAGCAGCTCCTTGACAAGCCAGGCACCTAAGTCATCCTTCTCAGGAATGAAAACTAGGTTTGCATGGCTTGAAATGATTAGGGTGATGAAACCGTTCTGCCTTTCAGGTCACCTTGATGCCAAAATGTTGCAAGAATAAAAGATCTCCGTCTGCCATGAAAACAGTTTCATCTGCCACATCCATAAGAAAAACAGCACAACAACCTTTCAAAAAAATCATTCCTAAAAAATGTTTCCCTCCCAAATTCATTGGCCAAGTAAACCATTCAGGGAAAAACAAAGTAAGGGTGTGGGGACAGGAGGAGATGACTCAGGATAAAAGTGTAAACTGTGCGTACTCTGTGAATAACTGACTTTGATGAGGAAACCCAAGCGTTTCTGATTGCTGAAGAAGAGAGAAGGGCCTACTTGACAATCCTAAGTGGTGCGTAAGAGAAACAGAGAACAGGGCTGGAGAGATAGTTCAGTAGTTAAGAGCACTGGCTGTTCTTGCAGAAGACCCAGGTTCAAATCCCAGCACCCACATGACAGCTAACAACTGTCCGTGACTCCAATTCCAGGGGATCCAACAGCCTCTTCTGACCGCCGAAGGCATTCCACAACATGTAGGCAATATATACATACACATAAAATAAAAATAATAAATAACATTTTTTTTTAAAAAAGAGAAACAGAAAACAAGTGCAAAAATTCCATTCCAAGAAACATGGGCATATTCTGACCCCAAAGGAAAGGGAGTAGGCCCTGTCTTTACTTTGGCCCATCTGTGTGTAAGAATTACATAGATCACTGATATTCTAATGTGATGTGACTTGGGCACCTAGATCAGATGTGTTATATAAGATGGATGGGGTTTTCCATTCTCTAATAGAGGACGTGAAAGGTCAGGGAGTGGTGAGGTGAGGGTGGAGTGGGGAGAGGGTTTTGAATATGATCAAAATACATTATATGAATTCTTGAATCAATAAATTTTTTAAAATTAAATTAATCGCACATGGTGGCCCATGCCTGGATTCCTAGCACTCAGGAAGTTGAGACAGGAGGATCAGGAATTCGAGGTCATTCTTAGGTACTTGGAGAATCTGACGGGGTCTCAAACATGAGACTTTATCATTAAAAAAAGAAAAGAAGGAGGAGGAGGAGGAGGAGAAGGAGAAGGAGAAGAAGAAGAAGAAAAAGCTGGGCATGGTGGCACAGACCTTTAATCTCAGCACTCGGGAGGCAGAGGCAGGCAGATCTCTGTGAGTTCAAGGCCAGCCTGGTCTACATAGTGAGTTCCAGGCCAGCTGGGGCTACAGGGAGACCCTGCTTCAAAAAGACCAAATAAATAAATAAATAAATAAATAAATAAATAAATAAGTAAATAGAAAAGAAATGTTAGATCAAGTAGCTAGAATAAATGTTTATAAACTTTTCATGTTAATTAAATAATACTCATGAAATGACAGTCAATTAGAAAATGAATTTTCTAATTCTCTATGTTTAAAGCAACAAGGGTTTCTTGGAATACTGGTCTGTTTTTGATACAGTTTTCCAAGTCGTCCAAGCATGGTGGTGTACTCCTTTAATCCCAGCACTCAGAAGGTAGAGGCAGACAGATCTCTGTGAGATAGAAGCCAACCTGGTCTACTAAAGAATTCCAGGTCAGCCGGGGCTACAGGAAGACCCTGTCTCAAAAGACCAAAGAGAAAAAAATTTCTAAGTAATTGATCAAGCCTATCATCCCAGCCATTCGAGAAGCTGAGGCAAGAGAACCATTTGAGCCTAGAAGTTCAAGGCCAGTCTGGACAACTTAGCAAAAAAGACTCCTATCTAAAACAAACAAACAAAAACCTGCAGTCAGAAAGAATTTCAACTGGGCTGGTGAGATGGTTCAGTGGGTAAGGGAGCCCGCCACCAAGCCTAACAACGTGCCACACAGTGGAGGGAGAGAACCAACTCCCCCTAATTATCGTTAACCTCCACACTCACACCTGCCATGGCACACACACTCAACAAACAGAAAAAAAAAAAAAAAAACGTAAAAGATAAACATCCCAACCATCAGCCAGACTGGAGTTTTCCCTGTTTTACAGTTTCCGTTTAATCAATGAAGCCCTCAAATTTTTGGTCGGCTATTAAAATCTTACGCTCTCCCAAGTGCTGGGTTCCAAAGTGTTCACCACCACGCCAGACTTTTCTTGAGACAGGATCTTCATCTGTAATTGAGGCTGAGGTCACCAAGTAACCCAGGCTGGCCTTTACCTCAGGGTCCTCCTCCTACCTTAGTCTCAAATGCTGGAATTACTGAACAGCCAGGCCCAAAATCAGCTCTTTTTAAAAAGTATTTTTAAGTGTATAAGTATTTGACCTGCATGTATGGAAGTGCAGCATGGGATGCAATATCCACAGAGGCCAGAAGAGGGTGTCAGATCCCCTGGAACTGGAGTTACAGATGGTTGTGAGCCATCATGTGGGTGCTGGGAACTGAGCCTGGGTTCTCTTCAAGAGCAGCCAGTGCTCTTAACTGTTGCACAATCTCTCCGGTTACACTTTGCTTTAATGGATGTATTTGAATTGATCTCTGCAACCAAATCATGTGCTTCCAAGAGTCACACTCTGTTTAAGGAGCCAGTTTCCTTTTCTGAATTCTCTATGGTGTGATGAAGGCTCCCAAGTCTGGACACATTCACTAACTACACCCAACCACCACCTCCTCCTCCTCCTCCTCCTCCTCCTCGCTGGGCCCGTTTGGGGACAGCAACAGAACCAGGAATTCATTCCTCCTCCCTCTCCTCCTCCCTCTCCCCCTCCCCCTCCCCCTCCTCCTCAGCTCTGACTTCCAGAATGCCTAAATGAAGTCCTCAGGGAGAGAAGCAGTCATCCTGCAGGAAATTCCTCTTTACCTTTTTGCAACTGGCCTAGGAAACAAAGATTTTTGTATTCTATTCAGATATTTTATGTTTTTAAATGTCTCATGTTTTTATTACTTAGGAAAACTGAGTCTTGAAAGAGCTAAATGTTATTGGTTTGGTTTTCTTTTTATTTTATTTATTTATTTTTTATGATGTACTCTTACTTTGCTAGCACAGGCTAGCAGAGAATTCACTAAGTAGCCCAGGCTGGCCTTAAACTCATGGTGATTCTCCTGCCTCATCTTCCCAAATGCTGGGTTTATAGATGTGTGCCACCATGTCCATCCTTGGGTTTTTTAAAAACAATCTGGGGCTGGGGAGATGGCTCAGTGGTTGAAAGCACTGGCTGCTCTTGCAGAGGACCCAGGTCCCAGAGCAACCACATGGTGGTTGACAAGCTAGCTCCAGTTCCATCCTAACTCTAGTTCCAGGGGATCTGATGCTCTCTTCTGACCTCCTTGGGTATTGCACAATATGGGCACACATACATGCAGGCAATATAAATTAAATATTATAAAAACACACATAAAATTAAAATATTATAAAAACACGTATTTCTCTTTTAAAGATAATTGTTTTTATTTATGTGTATGGATGTGTCTGTGTGTATGTATGCCATGTGTGTGGGGGGGGTGGAGCCCATGGAGACCAAAGGAAAGCATCAGGTTCTCTATAGGGCTAGAGTTACAGACTGTTATGGCCAGTCTGACTTGAGTGCTAGGAACTGAACTCAGGCCCTCTAGAAAAGCAGCAAGCGCTCTTTACCACTGAGCCATCTTTCCAGCCTTCACCCTTATTTCCTTT